TATCGAAAATTGTTATTAAAAAGTTTATGTATATGACGAACGTGAAGAAAATTTGTACACATACAATACCTAATAGTAGATACAGTAGAATTCAGTTTTTTATAGAACTGATACTCGTAATCTACTGTATGTCTGGCAAAAGTGACTCTGAGTGTAATATGTGCAAGAAGTGTTTTAACTATTCCAGACAAGACAATGAGATAATCCAAAGTTGGAAACTTGTTGTTAAAAAAGCTAGATAGACAAGATTAACATTTTATAATTTGGTGGACTATTATTTATACGTGTATAATTTGCAAATCATTTTAATTTTTTAAAGGTAAGGTACCTATTTATATTTATTGATATATGTTTTCTATTGTTATGTGGGTTGTACTGAATTTTGCCTCGTTTTTATCTTTTTGTAAAAATCACCTTATTTTATATCTTAATGTTGTTAAAATAAACACTTCTTTGAAAATAAACACACAACGATGACACTTAAAGGGCCGAGAGGGAGATATCGCTCTGGGTCTAGGATATTTTAAAATAGTTAACAGAAACAGAGTTATTAGATATTCTGAGAAGTGTACTCCGTGAAGGTTTTATTGTATGTGTATTGTGTATGTGATTATTTTATATTTGGTAAGTTTTTTATTGAGCAATCTAATTATCTTTCCTATCTAAAAGTATTTAATTATTCTGATTTTAATTGAGTAATTTAAGTATTTTTTAAGCTTTTCACTAATGGCTATATTTATTTAAGACATGTATGTATTTTATAGCAAAGAAATATTTAATAGTAAGTCTAAAAATAGTAGTTATCCTGATTTATCGTTAATTAAAAAATACTCACACTATCATAGTATCTTTAGTTCTATATCTTGTTCAAATTAATAGCTGGAATGATATATAATGCTTGGCATTCTATATTTACTCTTCATAGTTTAATAGACCTCCTATACCCCCATTTTTATTGTGATTTTTTTATTCTATTTCTATTTTTTTTTTATTATTTTAACCCCCTTGACCCGAACTTTATCCAATTTTTTTAAAATAGGCTTCTTTTCTGTTAAAAAGATTGATTGTTTAAAAATTTCAATTTGATATTGTTTCGTTTTTGACCTATCCTGTGGAAAAAAAAACGTGACAATGGACGGACGGACAAAGTAAACCTATAATACTTTTCACAGCCTACAGTGTTTTACCCACCCATAACACTTATTTACTTAATTTGCTGTAAAACTGATAATATTTATTGAAAAAACGGCCTATTTTTATTTAAAAAATTATTTATATTAATATTAATTTGCACAAGACATAGAACTTAGTTTTTCCGTAATCGAAAAGAGCTCAAATTAGACATTTACCGTAAACTTTTTTGGTATATAGGTAGGTACTAGAGGCTAACACACGTTCGATATACATATTGTTCAACATTACGCACTGTAAGCTCTGGATAAAATAAAAGAAGGTAAGTTATTTCCATTTTAAAATGTGTGTTAAATTTTTTCTTAAATGCTTGAATAACTGTTGATGACTAACTTAAAAGTCTAGACCTTGTATTGTTTCTCCCGCTTAGCCCATATTCAATAATTTATAGTCGAAAAACTATGCAATCATTAAAATATTAGATTTTGATTTTAACGCACATAGCGAGGGACAATGAGACTATGACTACGTTAATATCTCTATAATTTATTGAGCGATTTTGATCAAATTTGAAACATACTAGACATAATTTTAAATTAAGACTTAAACAATAAGGCTGATTTCCGGTTTAATAAAAATATCATTAGGTTTGATTTTTTAAATGGACATACAGGGTATCGTATGTTTTATGTTTTTTGGAATCTATGTTTTAAATTTACATCTTTCCCAATTAATTTTTATTATAAAACTTTTTTATGTAAAAGGTCATAATTTTAAAAATGCATGGTGCATTTTGTCAGATTGATTATAAAATTTGCCATCTAAAGGCAAAATAGCCTTCAATAGGTGTAATTTAAAAAAAAAATGAGATTCCTGTAAAAAAAACGTTTTAGAAATTTATTTTTTGTCTAAAGGATTTATTTTTAACTTAATTAGCTTAATAGCTTTTGTTTCGAGTTAATTGAGGCTATTTGAACATCATTATTAAATCTTAATAGTATTTCCGGTATAACCGGAAGTCGGAGGTTTTATAAAAATATGTGTCATTTAGAAATTATCTAGTTGTCTCATTGTCATCCGGGTATAAAAAAAAATAATTTTTAGTACTAACAAGCTGCCCATACCGGCATTTTTGAGCAAGCATATTGAGACGTTTTCGGGCACTACCGTGTCATTTAGTAAACATTAAACAGATCCAATGTTGAAATTATTTCTAACTAAATTAATTCGGAGTTTTAAGTTTTCAAATTGAATAAATTCATTATTTTTTTAACATTGATATAAAAAGTAAAATTATATAACATACCATTTATATTATTTTCAAAAAATAAAGCGAGTAAAAAAATATTGTTAATTTTTTGTTATTACTAATTTTGCATTTAAAAGTTTTAAAATGAGTATTTACTTTAAAATGCAATTTTGTGAAGTAAGCGATTAGATTTTTTCGATGGCGAATAAGTAATTAAGATTAGAAACTGATTTTATATAAAAAATTATAGGAAAGGTAATATATAAAATAGCAGTATCGTAAGAACAATATGAAATATTAGATCCCTATTTTTATATTTTATTGTTTCTAATTCTAATTCGAGACTTATTTTCAAGCACAACAATTTTTCAAAAATTAGAAAAGTACATTGTAATTTTGACGAAATAAGGTAGCGTTGAAAAATAGAACAACTTGTATTGTTACTAGTTACTACAAAATATTGTAATAATCTGACAAATACCATGTAAAATTGTAATCTTTATTAAAACGAGGTTATTACATAAACATACTTTATTTTACAATTTGGTTTTTATAGGAATTTATTCAGAAAATTGCACCGAATATAACTATGAGACTTGATTCATAACTTAACTTTAATGTTTCTATTTTAAACTACTCCTTAATTTCTACTGTCTTTAACATTATAAACAAAAATTTGGTTAATTTTATATAAAAAAAAATAATCTAATATCTGTATATTGTCAATATTTATATTTAACACATAAAGACTGCTGTAACTGTTAATGTTTTTCCACTGTATACCATATTGAAGACCTTTGCGTAATAAGGATACATGTCACATTGTAAGTTTTGAGAAAATGGAGTTTTTAATTTGTTTTAAATCTGTCAAATACATATTAAAAAAAAATATTTAAATATAAATATTACTAAAAATAGTGCCTCTAATTTGAAATAGAGGTAAAATAATTTGTATGTGGCTAGTAATATCCTTGTTAATAGATGTTTTGAGCTAAAACAGTCACTTCACGACAAATTGTAGCTTGCATCCTTTTAACACGAAGGGCTTGATTTGTATTGTAGGCTTGAGGATAGCCCTAACGGTCAAAACTATTCGCTTCACTTCTTAAAAATGTATCAGTTATTTTATTAATCGATTTAAAAAAAATCTTTCACAGACTAGACCCACAGTAAATTCTACTTTTAGGGTATGTTTCTTTCTCTTCACGGTAAACTGCTAGCCTACTTCTATTTAAAATAAACAGCATTAGTAGAGAAGTCGTATTATCATAAAAAGGGCGATGAGCGACATAACTTTTTATTTTTTCATAAATTTACGACAAAAAGCGACAAATTATCAATAGAACAAAAAATGTTATTTATACTCATTTTCAAGATTGGTAGTGGTAATCAGTGGCGGCTGGTGCATAAGCTGCAGATCTGCTAAAAAGTGCCAATATCTTATTCACAATTCACAGAAATTATTTTAGCCATTTTAAAATATACATAAAATAGATTTTATGGATAATCTCATTAGTTTTAATTTAATTTTAATTATTAAATAATAAATAGTGTGTGGGCACTGCACGTCTTGGACTGCCGCCCACTAATCGTCTCCTTTAATTGTTCTGGTAGCCTAGATGGGCATATGCCTGTCAAAAAAAATTATTAACAAGTTTGAGAACAGTAAAACTTTCTTGTCAACAGTATTGTGATTAAAAATGAAAAAAAGGTTTATTGAAAAATTTTAAAGACGAATTGTTCAATACACTTTTTTTATTTTTGATCAAAATACTGTTGACAAGAAAATTTCGCTGTTCGCAAACTTGTTAATTTATATTTTTAAAAGACATATGCCTATCAAGACTACTAGAAGAAGGAGACGATAAGCGGGCGGCGGCCCAAGCGGTGCATTGCATGCACACTATTTAATAATTAAATTAAAATTATTGAGAATATCCATAAAATATATTTTAAGTAACTTTAAGATTGTCTAAAAATGTAGATGAAATGTGGATGAGATACTTGTATTTTTTGGCAAGTTCTGCAGCTCTACAGCACTTATGTACCAGCTAACTTTACCGTGACGTTAGCACTACCAGGGGTTATTTTAAAAAAGGATAAGCGACAAATTTTCTTTTTTTACATCAAATTTACGACAAAACAACCAATGTTCAAAAATCCAAAATTCCAAAGTGGTATCGCTAACTTTACATACGTCAATACTTCTAAATTCTAATCTAATAGGCGCGTGTCAAATTTTTAATAGTTTGTGTATTTAACAAAATATTAGTAGATCAAATTAAAAAAAAAATTGCTTTACAACATATTCAAGAGATATATAATTGAACGAGTATTTAATTCCTGAGATGAGGGAGATTATGTGCATAACCATATCATATTTTTGTAAAATGTTATAAATGGTAATGTCCAATTCTCGTAAAGTTTATCGATACACAAAAGAGAAGAATCTGCAATTCTTATTTTTTAAATAGGTCTGGACATCTTTTGACAGAGTGCAATGGTTCAGTAATATCAGAGTATTTTAATTTTAAAATTTTAAGAGGTATTGATAAATTTGATTCGCAGCATTAACCTAAAAAATTACCTAAATTTAGAGTTCCTTATTATTTTGTTGTAGATGGGAAAACGTAAACACACCAAAGAGCAAATCGAAAATGTTAAGAAAATTCTTCTTTTGTATAAGAATCAAGTATTCAAAAATGGAAAAGTTGTTTCCAAGAATGACCAAATTTGGCATAATATGTCCATAGAAACGTCGGAAAATTTTACTCCGCTTGCTTTGTTTACAGTAGTTTCTAAAAACTATTATGATTCTCATTCATTACTTTTCAATAATCAGGAACATCAATTAGAAAAAAATAATACCAATGAGAACATACCCTCAGACAGCTCTTATCAGGAAAATCAGAGTTCCACGACAGATTCAAGTGAATGTTCCACGAACAATAGTAACGACTCAAGATATAGCTTTTTTGTAACTCTAAATTATTCCGAATATTTAAATTTAAATCCTCATATAACTAAATACAAGAGAACTGATAAATACGAAAAAAAAACTAATCTTAGAAAAAGTAAACAAAGAGCGTATATCTCCTTAGAACCAAAATACTGGTCTAATATATTACATAATAAAATTGAGAAAGCCTTAAGATCTCTAGGATATAAATGCACATTTATTTTTAAAAGATGTAAAATTACTTTATGTGGAAAATATTTTGCTACAATATATGGCCTATGTAAAGAGTGTAAGTCAGTTCTTTCAGGTTACATTGAAACAGAACCAGGTGAAAATGAGAACGTGACTATTATTTTTGAATGTATGGGCAATTTTAGTATTACACATAATATTGCCAAACGACCGATATTTGGCAGTGAAAGAAAGAAGATTGGTGAGGAACTAATAACAACAAATATTGCTCCATCTCAGTACAGGAGATTACGTGCGGTTAATGAGATTCAAGAGGGCATTGAATCTTCAAGTTTACCTAAATTAGAGGTTATTCGAAAAATCAAACATGAAAGTCAGTCCGAATTGCGGCTTAATAAAGATCCCATATTAGCAGTACAGATATTAAAAAACAACCCTGATATGAAAGGATGCATTAAAAATATTGGTTTGGATCCTTTTTTTGTATATTTATGGACCAATACACAATTGCACGTTTTTAATAAATATTGCAAAGAAGACTATGGAATACTTTCCATCGATGCCACTGGTGGTATTGTACGCAGTGCCACTAAGCCTTCTGGAGACAAAACAAAACATATATTCCTATATGAAGGAACAATACGACATAAACATTTAAAGAAGGAAAATCAATATCCAGTCACTAGTATGCTTAGTGAAGCGCATAATAGTGTTGCCATATATACGTGGCTAGCACACTGGATTAAAAATGGTGCAGAAAATCCAAAAGAAATTGTCTGCGACATGTCGCTAGCATTACTCTATGCTATTATTCTTGCATTTACCAGCTGTAAAACATTAGAACAGTACCTCCAAATATGCTTCGAAGCAATATTTTTCCAACAGCCTTTTAATGAAAAGTGTTTTATTCGGCTAGATATTGCTCACTTTCAAGCAACAGTTTCGCGATTTTCTTGTATGAAGAAACAACACCGTTTAACACGACAATTTTATTTAAGAGCTGTAGGGCAATTATGCCAATGCACGAACGTCGAAGATGTGCAAAACATGCTAGAAGCTATTTTCACAGTAGCTTATAGTGATACTGAAGGTAAAAGTTTGATAACGGGAATCAATATAAAATGCGAGGAACACAAGCAATGGCTTATAAGGCGCTGTTCCAGTGGAACAACCGAAACATTAGATATAGAGTTGAAAATTGTAAATAATGAAATGGAGCTAGAAAATTTTAAGGAAAAAATTAAAAGTCCATTTGAGGATTGGGCTCGAAACATTGCTGTAAAATGTAAAACTTTGGTAAACACACAAAATGAAGTAGGCGATCGAGGTAATCAGCAATGCCTACCATTATTTGTAAACGAATTGTTGAAGTTACTAAAACTGTTGCCTCTCTGGTCGGCCATATTAATACCCCATTTTCCAAAAGCACAAGTAACAGCATCTTCTTCCATATCAGAAAGCAATTTTAATCATATAAAAAATAGAGTTTTCTCAAATGTTACGCTTCCGGTCCGAATAGATGAATTTATTCCTACGTACATCTTATCAAATTATGGAGCTGTGCAGATCGCAAAAGCTAGTATTCAACAAAAAAAGGATATCGATGATAAGGTATTGTTTATTTTCTATTATCACCAATAAATATTTACTTTTTTATTTATTAATGTCACTTTAAAGAAAATCGAATAAGTAAATTACACTTCTCCAATTCTTAAATATAAAATAATTATTAAAAAACTTACTCAGCAGTATTTATATTTCTCAGTTTTATTCATGTTTGGTACATAATCTTTATCTAGTTTGTGCTACAAATTTTATTTATTTTTATATTTTAATTTTAGATATTACCTGCTGCAATTTTAGATGAAAACTGCAAAAATAATGACAATAGCCAAGATGAAGTAGACAATGAAGGTAAGTTAATAATTACTTCGGCTAATTTTCTTCCAATTTAACACAGAAAAACTTAAAATTTTTGTTTTTATAATTTTTGCAAAAACACATAAAAATGTAAATATACTACTCTAACAATAGCATTGATTGTAATAGAAATAAGTGATACAAATATTAACATAATTTAATTGAAAAATAAGAAAATATTGCTATTATTATTGTTATGTTATTTCTTATGTCAAATGAAGCATTGGACAGTTTTGAGCGGACAAAAAGTAAAACAAAAGAAATAGAAAAAAAGTATTTTTTTCAGCAGGTTTCAACACATTCGAATAAAAATAATAATTTTTTTACCTACCTATCCTACCTTATTAAACCTAACTTTTATTTTTTCATATAGAAAAGCCAAAACCAAAATGTCCATCGTGTGAGCTGAAACTGGCAGAAACGTCGATTTGTTGTAATTGCCAAAACCCAATTCATAATCACCCTCTCTGTTCACAACAAAACTTCTGCAACCGGTGCTTTAATATGGAGCAAAATCAAATTGAAAATTGGAAAGGAAAAGCCATACCAACGAGAAAACGAACTTGTTATTTAGAACCTCTAGCGGAACTGATGTCTACAGACTTTTCAAATACCAAATTAGTACCGGTTGGGCTATTAAGAAATGGCCATTTAATGGATCTTAAACCCATTAAAATAGGACAAGAATGTGTTACATTATCAAATACGTGCGGATTTGACGCTGTAGTGCAAGTTCTCGCGTGTGCTTTCTGTGACAGCCAAACTTTTAAAGATTTATTAATATTGTTTTCAAAAAATCAGAGCAAAATAGCCACAATTGTTTGTACTCTGGTAGAGCAAGGCATTAATAAAAAAATTTACAGGCTCCGAGCTGAATTGTGCTACAAAGTTTTTCCAAAAAATGAAACACCTAAAAATATTGTTGCAATAGATGTACAAATCCAAATTTCCAATTTATTAAACGGAATTTTAGATTTTTACTCAGGGGTTAAAAGTAACTATTGTCCAGCATGTAAGGATGTACAAAATGAATCTATAACATTTATTGAGATAGAAATCACAAATATTTACAATCTAGAAGCTCTCATTAATGAACAGGTTGCGCCGAACTATTTTTTTCGGTGTCATAAAGGTATTTGTAAAGGGTACTTAAGGAGAAAATTAGATTTAAACCCTGTATGTTTTTTTATTGAGCCTATAAATACTGCTACCAGAATGTGTGAAATTCAATGTAAACTTGAAGACATTCCAAAAACAATTTCTATTGGTGAAATTCAATATATTTTACGTGGCTGCGTAGCCTATACAGGGCCAGATTTAGCTTTAGGACACTTTACTGCTTTTGCGAACAGACACAACAATATATGGGAAGTGTACGATGATACACATCATAAAAGTGAAAAATGTTCAAGGCATCGTGAAGTGAAAATTCAGACTCTTTTTTATAGTATTTAAAATAGCAATAACAATTATAATATTTTTCAAATCAGCACCGTGGTTTCAAAATTTTATTAGTAAATTTAATGAAAAATATATGTTGTAATAATAATAGAAAGATCCCTATTTGGTAAATCTTATATTTTGTTAAATTGACAGAAACAGTTTTGTTAGTAATCCACTTTCAAAAGAACCTGGTAAATATAATGACTTTTCTGTTACTTTAATAATGAAATAATTCTTAGGTTTGATAGTATAAATATTATTTTAAATATTAGAGAATATGATTTTCATAACAGTACATTTATGTAAGATGAATAGTTTATTCATTAAATGTACAGATTTATACTCTAATATGACAACAGGGCTTTTTTTGAAATGATAAAAATGTTATTATATTGATATAATATTATTAGTTATTGATATTTTATATACAAAAAAAAATTATTTTATTACTTTTATGTAACATGAATAGTGTAATTAGTAAAAATACATATTTATACGATGTTATGTCAATAGCATTTCTTCTTTTATCCCTTATATTTATTTTTGGTACTTCCGAACAGAAGCCGTTTTTATTTATTTCTTTCACTCGTCTGACTTGATTCCTTGATAAAACTACATATTGGCTTAGTATGTTCTCATATATGATGGACTTTAAAAATGTATTCATGTATATTTTGTTCTAAAAAATATTATGTTATAGTAGAAATAAAGTTAAACAATGATATTAAAAAAATTAGTAGGTAACTATAATAATTATAATTATCTATTATGAGCTCGATAAAATAGGTATTCATAATGAATTTAGGTACTTATCAATATATTTTTGACAAAGCTTTGCCTCTCTAATAATACAATTTTTTTTGTTATTTATATCTACTTTTTCATCGGAATTTAATATTTTAAATTTTCTTTAGAAATATTTCATTATCGATTAACAATAGCGTTATAACGTACTTTTCTCGATGTTTGCTTTATAGTCACATTCTCTGCTCCCAGCATTTAGAAGTTACTAGCTACTACAGCTAGTGCTAATGAGAGGACAAACCAAAATCACACAACTACCGATAAAGTTGAAGTAGAAGAACGCTAATATGTTATTGTTTTTATTTGTTTAACACTAGTTTTTGTCAAATTTACAGTTGCCATTGTTAATTTATTATGACTTAGGGTCCCACAACAATTCTGATTTAATACCATAGTCCACCGGAATTAGACAAAAAATTACCCTGAATCGAAATTTTTTTAGTTTAGCATGGAGACCCAAATTACAATGAAGGTTTCGACTTATTTTGAAAAAATTTCACTATGCGCAAAGATGAGAATGATCGGAAGGGTATTATTATTATACATTGTTCGGCGTTTTTTACTGGATTTTTTTAGAACAAACGATATTCTATCTATTACGTTTTACATTTTTGCGAAATTTTACATTTTTCCGCTAAAGCGCGCAACAAAACAAATGTATATACTTAGTTTTCGGTTTTTCGCATTTTACAAACATGCAATTTTGTGGAAAAATTTTATCAAAGTTGAAGAGAGGAAATTTATTATCGAACCTATAAAAGAGATTTTCCGGAAACGTATCGAGTTCGACACTACAGCGCATGCGCTAATAGTGAGAGTAAATTTTTCCTATTGTTCGTAAACAAAGAAAATGACTATGTTTAGTTAAATTCCACAATTCATAATGCTGCAACTACAACTACTAAGTTTTAACAAAAATTAAATTAAATGATTTTTTGAAAAAGCGACTTTTATTTGTGCGCATCCTGTATCGGCCGAAAAATCTGTTTAATAGGTTCGATAGGAAATTTTTCGCTCTACAACTTTGCTTTTTTGAAATTTTCCACCAAAGTGCGTGAATTTCTTGTAAAATGCGGAAAACCGCAAAATATATGCATTTGGTCTTTTTTGGCGCGCGCGTTAATAAAAGTGTTCTTTAGGAGTATATTTAATTTTCTAAATTTACTAGGTCCCCTATTGTATTAAACCACAATGTTAAATTGTTATTTATTTTTTAAATAAATCTTTAAATGGCTAAGTATTAACGTAGTGCAAATACTTTGTTGGAGTATTTGTACAAAGATTGTACATATTTATAAACTTATTTTTTAAGTTGTAGATTTAAAAAAGTATTTAAGCAATACCTATTATTAGTCCTTGTAATATTAAAAATTCTTACGGTTTGTAAATTTCATTTTTATAGAGCGTATAGAGAACTTTTTTAAAATAATTTTATTGTTTGTTTATGATAACTCAAGTATTCTATGTGTAAAACTTTTCCTCACCTCCGTTATTTAAATTCATTTACCTTATATTGTAATTATTTTATACTTTTTAGTGTTTCTTATAAATAAACATACATATACATATATAGAATGTTTCCCAAGCAATAATAAATATTTTAACCATAGATTCAGGACCTCAAAATAATAATATTTTACTAAATAACACTGGGTCAAATGTTATCTACTTCTAAGATGCAGAATGTTAAGTTAAAATTTATTTTTTGCCCTTGCAATATTTTCTTTATTGTTGAAATGTTGAGAATAAAAAAATCATTAGTTTTAGTAGAGTGTAAAAGGCGTATTTTTTGTCTAATCTCAAAATTGATAACAGGTTTATGATTAACTAGCCCAATAATATGACCACACCAAATTTTAAGTCACTGTTAAATAATTACAAAAATATCTCAGTATTATTGGGCTAAATATTAATATTTTGATGTCCTAAACTTGTAATGAAAATATTTTCCATTCCTTCTGAAACATCTTGTATACATATTTATTTTTCTTATGAGTTTTATTTCGATAACAATTTAAAAAAAAATGAAAATTTAAGTTAATAATACTATAACTATAACGATTTTGTTTGCGAAAGTACGTAATAATTTTACAAAGAAACTATAAACGGTAAGTTACAATAAATAAAAATATAATTTCTTGATAAAACCAAACAAACAATATATAAAAAGTTCCCAATTTTAACACATTTAAAGCATTTTGGGTACTTCTAGAGTAGGAAAAAGAAAACTTTTGAGGCATCAAATTTGGGACACACTATACAGTAGTGTACATATAGGAACTCATTTCACGGTAAATAAATTGCTGTAACTACTAAATGGAAATGGTACAAAAAGTTTTATTTGTGGTGCATATGAGTGCATTAGGAGTGCATACCGGTGCAATTTTTTTTGTAAAAAAATCATTGGGGAGGGCTAACTTCACGGTAAAGAAACAGCTATCACTACTAAAGGTAGGAGGTGCAAAAAGTTTAATTGGTGGTGCATATGAGTACATCAGTAGTGCATACCGGTACAATCGTTTTTTTCGCGAAAACTTCATAAGAAGGAATAAATTCATAATAAACATATCGCTGTAACTTCTAAAGGGAGGGGGTGCAAAACGTTTTATTGGTGGTGCATATGAGTGCATCAGGAGTGCATGCCGGTGCAATAATTTTTTTTGCGAAAATTTCATTGGGGGGGGGGGGCTAAATTCACGGCAAATAAATTGCCGTAACTACTGAAGGGAGGGGGTGCAAAAACTTTTATTGGTGGTGCATATTAGTGCATCAGGAGTGCATACCGGTGCAATAATTTTTTTTGTGAAAAAATCATTGGGGGGGGCTAACTTCACGATAAAGAAACAGCTATAACTACTAAAGGGAGGGGGTGCAAAAAGTTTAATTGGTGGTGAATATGAGTGCATCAGGAGTGCATACCGGTGCAATAGTTTTTTTTGCGAAAACTTCATAAGTAGGGATAAATTCACAATAAACATATCGCTGTAACTTCTAAAGGGAGGGGGTGCAAAACGTTTTATTGATGGTGCATATGAGTGGATCAGGAGTGCATACCGGTGCAATAATTTTTTTTGCGAAAATTTCATTGGGGGGGGCTAAATTCACGACAAAGAAATTGCTGTAACTACTGAAGGGAGGGGGTGCAAAAACTTTTATTGGTGGTGCATATGAGTGCATCAGGAGTGCATACCGGTGCAATATTTTTTTTTGCAAAAACTTTATTGGGGGGGGGCCAACTTCACGGTAAATAAATGGCTATAACTACTTAAGGGAAGGGGTGCAAAAAGTTTTATTGGTGGTGCATATGAGTGCATTACAAGAGCTAACTGGTGCATTAGAGTAAATCTTAAAATTTTCACTGGGGGGGGCCAGCGTTCATTTGGCCCCCCCCACAAAAAAACAGCTGTAGTTTCTCAAGGAAAGTGGTGCAAAAAAAATAATTAGTGGTGCATATTGGTGCATCACTAGTGCATTCTGGTGCAATAGTTTTTTTTTGAAAAATATCATTGGGGGGGGCCAACTTCACTCACCTCCCCAACTAGCCATTCATAAAAGTGTATTTGTTGTCCTCATCATCATCATCTACTGTATAGTCCAGGAGACAGTGTCGATTTTCGGTAGGGTTAGCAATTTTAAGCAAAATTTATTTATGAGGGGGTTCGATGGGTTCAAGCCAAAAATGCTTCAGAACATACGAAAACACGGATCGTTTTTTTCAGTGATAGAAATAGTTCTAGTAGTAAGAGATAAACTGAAGTTAAGTAAAAAAGTAGTCTGATTATTCTGTGAGTATGGATAATATATTTGACAAGTGCATAAAATACACTTTTAAACGAGTTATGTACACAATTATTTCTACGACCACAATTATTTAAAGAATGTTCCAGGTGTTTTGTATATTAAAGTGTACGCATAGGACACATAAATAAAATCATATATCACAATGTTTCAACTAACCAGTTGGTTTATTTATAGAAATAAAACACAATAATTGAAGATATTACAGAAGAAAATAGGAAAATAAATTATATTTCCTTTTACACTTTTATATAATAATTGTTTTATTAAGAATTCACGAAACACTTATTGCTCTACATTAATTATAATTATTGTTAGTTTCGTTATGTCAAATCATTTATACTAGAGGTGTGAGGAAAATACAGTGAACTCTGGAACGCCAATATCGTTGGATACACGTGGTAGAAATG